TGTATTCAGGTAGAAATACTATTAACTATTTTTGACCTCAATTCCCCTTTCAACTTAAAAGTAAGTGGACAATTCACAACACAACTGTTTATAACTGATATCCGTAACATGTTTCTGGGACTTTAGGAGACTCAGGGTCTACTCATCTGCCACCTCAGAAACTGCTACCTTTGTTTTCAAGCATAATACCATGAACCTTCTCTGTGAAAGAATGCAAGCCTTCCTTTTATCTTTAACAGTCAAACCACCCAGGCTGACTGGCAGGTAGACTTCAGAACAAGTCACATAACTCCTTTTTGTTTACCTTAAATTTGAAGCCGGTCTCAAAATATAATCTTATAAATCTCACTTGTAATATGTCCCTTCTAAGAATTTAAAGTTGTGACATTGAGTTTTCATAAATATTATCAGAATAAAACAATTTATAGCATTCTATTAAGTTTAACATCTAACTTTCAATAAAATTACTACATACAGTAATTGTCTCCCCCATGCTGTCACATTATCTATTAATCAGTTCACCTTGGCAACATCACATATTTAACCTGTATCAATCAAATATGTACTGTGGACAATCAAATAGTATCTTAATTATAAAGATATCTATCCAGTCAAGGTGGTCTTTAGATAATTGGACACTGGATGTAGCCTGGCATTTGCATTACTGTACTCCTCGGATATATCATGCACTGAACACACACTACATGCTTGGGGAGTTGAATCTTCTGGTTGTCTACTCTTTGAAAAGGTCTACAACTCTGATCTAGAGACCCAGACATTGGAGGGAATTCCATATACTTAGCTGGGTAGTTACCCAGGAAATGCTAGAGAGATGAAAATGTGCCCTAACATTACAGAATATGCTCTGTAAACATCACAAAGTGCAATAAATTGTGTATGTGTTTTTCTAATTCAGTTTATCTTCAGAAAACAACACTGGTTTAATTTTAGGCAAATTACAGTCAACATTGTGCTGATTGAAAATGTGAATATTCTAACTGAGAGTCAAAAGAGGGGATCTGATGGAATGAGAGACAGAAGCATGAAGCTATTATAATTGTTTTCTCCTCCACCCCACAGGATGGCTAGGGGTAAAGACAGTTTAAAATGTGAAACCTGGGCTGAGGTTGCAACCGCCCGTCAAGAGCTGGCTAAGTTATATGAATATGCTTTTGAGACTACGTGCCCCAGATTTCAATATACTTTTGCATTTAATAGTGATGGGCTGGCAGTCCTCAGGGTTCTGAAATTCAGCTGCTAAAAAGCAGCAAGAACAGTTGGATCCAGAAGTGGGGATATTCAGATATTGAGGAGGCAGTGGCCTAGTGGTATTACGGCTGAACTGTTAATCCGAATAACTCCGATAATGTTTAGGGGACCTGGGTTTGAATCCCACCATGGCAGATTATGGAATTTGAATTCAATTTTAAAAAAATCTGGAATTAATGATGACCATGAATCCACTGTTGATTGTCGGAAAAACCCAACTGGTTCACTAATGTCCTTTAGAGAAGGAAACTGCCATCCTTATCTGGTCTGGCCTACTTGTGAGTCCAGACCCACAGAAATATAGTTGTCTCTTAAGTATCCTCTGGGCAATTAGGGATGGGCAATAAATGGTGCCTAGCCATTGACACCGTTATCCAGTGAATGAATAAAGAGAAAAAATAGTGCCACCCAGCCTCTCAAGTGTATTGTAGCTATTTCCTCAATCGATCATTGTCTCTTTTTCATCGCTATGATTTACTGGTCTATCCCACACTATTTCCTGATTTAATTTGCCCCAGCCTCACCAATTCCCTGGCAGCCCCACGATCTGAACAATACTGCCAAACTCCATGATTGCCCCTGGAAGACCGTAGCGATATTTTTTCCCTTTCAAAAGAAGTTTAAGACTTGAAATAAAATGTGTAGTGTACTTTTATTTTTCCAAAGAAAAATCCAAATTACCAAGATATTCTACATTTTTTTTCTTCTTCATTAAGTATCTTTAGTTCATATTTCGGACTCTGCCTAAACAGGCATACTGGTAAAAGCTTTCTTATACTTTTGTAGCCAGTGAAACTCTCATGAATACAAGATGGTGTTGATGTTTTAATTATCTTCAATCTTTCCAAGTGACTCACTTGTGTGAAGTAACTTCTTGTATTGAAGCCCCCTGAAAAAGTTGCATTAATATTTTGTGGTTTTTTGAAAGAAGAGCTGACATAGCTCCACATGAAATTCTTGTAAAACAAATGAAAAGACTAAGATGAAGAGTTTCATCGCTTTGAAGTCCTGAGAACAAATAACTTTGGGGAAATAGCACAGTTGTTTGAATATAGTGAAGCTACAGGAAGGATAAACTTGTAGAATTGATATTACAAAAAAAAAAGTTTAAAGTGGCTGTACAGCAACATTTACTTGTATTAAATAGTAGTAACTTTTCATAAGATCCCCCACAGAAGCATTATCAACCAAAATTTACATAGATCCAAACAAGAGCATATTGGGAGCAATAATATATGAACAAGAATAGGCCACTTAAGCCCTTCTAGCCTGCTCCAAATTCAATGAAGTGATGAATATATAATTTAATGTCTACACCTGGTTGCCCTTGGGGAGATGGTGCTGAGGTACCTTCTTGAACTGCTGCAGTCCATGTGCTCTTGGTAGATGTACACTGCCAGTAGGGAAGGGAATACCTGAGTTTTGACCCAGCGATGCTGAAAGAGCAATGGTATATTTCAAAGTCAGGGTGGTGAGTGGCTTGGAAGGGAACTTGCAGGTGGTGGTGTTCCCATATATCTGTTGTCCTTGTCCTTCCACATCATAGTGGCTATGGATTTGGAAGGTGCTATCTAAGGATCTTTGAATTTCTGCAGTGCATCTAGCAGATGGTACACACTACTGCTGCTGAGCATCTGTAGTGGAGGGACTGGATATTTATAGATGTGGTGACATTCAGTGGGCTGCTTTGCCCTGGATGTCATCGAGCATCTTAAATGTTGTTGGAGCTGCGTTCATACAAGCATGTGGTATTTCATCACGCTGCTGACTTGTGCCTTGTAGGTGGTGTACAGGCTTTGGGAAGTGAGGAGGTGAGTTACTCGCTGTAGTACTCTTAGTTTCTGATATGCTCTTGTAGCCAATGTATTTATTTGGCAAGTCCAGTTGAGTTTCTGATCAATGGTAACCCCCAGGGCGTTGATAGTGGGGGATTTATATATTACATTCAAGTTGCAAGTGGTCTGGTTCAGTTTCAACGAGAAATGGAGTGCTTGATTGGCTAAAAGAGTTTGCAGCTTGGACAGAAGATATTGGTCTCCCCAGTGCTTAGTTAGAGAGAATTTCTGCTTATCCAGCATTATATTATGAGAAAGTAGTGTGACAATTTAGAGATAACAGAGGAATCTGCTGTTACTAGACTGCTGAATGGACCTCTCTAACTGCAAATAATGTTGATCTTGCTTTGTGCACCTCCTGTGCAGCCATAACCTTGAATGTGTCACTCTGTCTAAGCACCTATGATCTCTATATCCTTGTTTGCTTTGATCTGCCTGTACTGCTTGCAAAACAGAACTTTTCACTATATTTACGTACATGTGACTGCAATAAATCGAATCATGAGAGATGGTGATGAGGTAAAAGTGGGTGTTTTCAGTGGAAACTAATATCATATTTTCAGATGAATTGGTAGCATGTAGATGAGAAATGGCAAGGGCCAATGAATAGGCGTGACACAAGATCAGTGCTAGTAACTTTACTATTTATGTTCTATATTAATTGTTTTGATGAAGGAATAGAGAATAATGTATCACTGTTTGCTGACAATAAAAAGCTGGTTGTATTCACTTTGGTTACAAGAGTAATGAGGCATGAGGTAAAGAGCTGATCATTTAGGTCTAAGGAGAAGTGTCTTCACTAAACCCATGGAATTTTCTACCCTGAAAGGTTGTGAGTGCTCTATCATTGAATATATTTGAGGTTGATGGACAGACTTTTGTTATCTCATAAAGTCAAGTGATGTAATTAGTGAGTGGAAAAATGGAATTTGAGTTGAAATGAGTTAAAGATCATATTAAATGGTGGAGCAGGCTTGATAGGACATTTAATCTATCCCCGTTTTAATTCTTGCATTCACAAAAGGTAATGGTACTAATACATTCTCACTGGGAAAAAATAAAGTTAAAAGTGGTTGTGATTATATCTCTGCTAGTCATTTATGCACTCACTGTTTCAACAAATGATATATATAATGAATTGCTGAACCATGCAAGCCAAACAATTGTCAGGTTAAATTTATAATCTGTGCTGAATAATCTCCTCTGCCTAAGGTTGTAACAGGTTTGCTAAAATTAACTGTGACACTCCTAAATGAAGGAGCTCAGGCTAAAGAGCCTTCAGACACTGATCGATATCCAGAAATTGGTGTGGCAATTACATGTGAATATCTAATGAAGACAATAATCCTTATCTGTGATCTTTCATTCAACCTAATAATGTTTTGATCTCACTTGTCAGTGATGTAGTTGAATACTTCAGTGAGTGCTGAATACCCAAACTCAGGCGATGGAACTGTAGTCAATAAAAGGTCTTTGGGAGGAAAAGATGAAATTTCAGAAATTAAAGAACAAAACAGTCCTTAATTTATTTATTTTCTTTTTCTTTAGGTCCCTCTGTATTTTACCCAATTTTAGGTATAGTAGCAGTTTGGCAACATGCTCTAAGGACTGCACAAATAATGGTCTTGAACCAGCCACTAGGTGGTGTATGGGAGCAGAGATAATTACTTTGTAATTTCAGTCACTATGACCTCTGCTTTGGTTACATCCTTTGACGAAATGACATCATTTAGGAGATTGCAGTTTTGAATCCACATGATGTTGTGACTTTATAAAATCATATATTGAAGCACTGACAAGTCCGCCATGATGCTTCACAATAGAATTAGTTTCTTTCAATAAAAATTAGTGTCTCCCATATTGCCTTAGCATTTTCTTTAATTTTACTGCACATAAAGAATTGGTCAGTTGTGTAGGTTGGACAACAGCAGATGAGTTATATTCATCCAGTGATGATCATCAAATACTGAAGTGGAATTTATTAACAAATGAAACAATACAAGTTGTAAGACTTGCTGAAGAAATCTATCCCATAGACCTGCACTGGTTTCCAAAGACTACAGGGGGCAAGAAGCAGATCCAGACAGAAATATTTGTGCTCACCAGTACTGATGGTAAGTGCTGTTAACATGAATGTGTTTTTATAATATGCTTGTTGTGTTATAACAAAACATAATTTTGAGATTTTATTCTCGGTGAAATAGCCTATTCTGCTTGATTTCTCTTATTATGACAACTCATAATGCATCTTGTAAAAAAGAATTACCAAAAGAACCATGTTTTTTACTGTCCAACTTTTTAATTGTTTATTTTTCACCTAGGTAGTGGATATTGATGATGTGGAATAAAGCATATTTCAATTTCTCTGCCTAATATCGGCTTTAAGTAATTAGGTGCAGATTATGAAGTTATCTAATTCTGTGTGCAAACCTCACCATCAGCCTTGAATGGCAGCTGATTAAACCAGTTTCAACACTTTTTTCTAATTCCTACATAACCGCGTATGGCTTCTATGGTTAGGTTTATCAGTTGGTGCAAATAGTTTGAGGTGAGTCCGAGGTCACAAATGGCTAGATTGAGATTGTTCAAACTCATATTGTAAAATATTCATGTGATCAAGAGATTTTATAACTTTGTCAGTTTGGGCCTGACTCAAAACCATGCAAGTTCCTAATTTTATGCTCCCACGATTTACTCGAGATACACCACATTTTTGCAAGTTGGCTATTGAAAAATATGACTGAAATGTTCTGAGTATTTTCCCACAAAATAGTTTTGACAGTTTTTACTACTTATTGTTCATTGTGCAATTTTGGTATTTTTTTTTAGAATGTGGCAAATTGAAAGTAAGGCAACAAGAATTCATTGTAGATACTTTGAAGCATTTGTAAGGTGAAGGTAATGGATTATGTATTATTTACTGAGTGTAAACAGTAGAAATGATTGACTTTTGAGGGGCACAGATATTTTTAACATGAAACAAATGGGTTGAGATTTTTTGCAATATATCCGTTGTACAGTTAAGAACAAAAGTTAAAACTTTCTCACACAGTATTCATCAAAGTCATTTAAAAATCCTGATTCCTAATTCAGAATAAGTAGCCTTGTGTGCTATTGTGAAATTAAATACATTAAACAATGGTATTGTTAGTTTAATTAGACTTGTATTTCCTTGCTTAAGTATTACATTTTGAACTGGTGGAGTTCTAGCCTTTGAACAATATTGGCAGTGGTGAGTTTTGTTGAGAAAATATGGCAAGATCAAAAATTGAGATTCTGTACATTGAGGTGGTGAAAGAATATCGATTTTATACTCAGGTTTAAACAGTGAGATTTGAATCTAACTAGTGAGTAACAAGAGGCCTATTTATATCTATTAACATTTCATTATTACCCGACCTTATTTCTTTCATATGCAATTCACTATTCTTCCATGCAGTGAAGAAAGATTAGATGATGACAGTTCCGGATATGAAGGTCAATGTGGTTTCCTGGTAACTCCAACTCGCTGCTTGCTACTCCAGTCCTCCATCTTGGCCAACAGCTCCCAACATCTTGGAATTCACTCCATGGGCAACAATTGCTTGCCAATCCCCAGTCCACAGGAATTATTATTGAGCATGCACCAGTCTCATTCTATCATCATGGCACACGTTGGAATACGGTTTAGAATTTCAATGCTGCACTTTGGAGCACACTGACACTTTTCATTCTGATGTTGGTGCCAGGCTGTTTTGACTACAGGGACAGGCATTTCCTGCATTGGAGCTGGGTTCTTCTAGGAGCTGTTAACCTGCTGTCTTAGCACTCACTGATTTTGCATATACTTGGATGCTCACAGCATCTCTGCCTTGCCTTGACTTGTCTTTTTGAGCATTGTTGCCTCATTCAGAACTTAAAGACTCACAGTACTTCTTTATTACCTTGCCATTTAACAGAGACAAAAAAAAAACAGGCAGCATGTCATGGTTGTCAGCAGTCATCAGCCAAGAGGAAGCACTTTTTGCTGTAAAGGCATTGTACTATGTCAATTTCACACCAACATCATGTGCCAGAAGCTCTCATGGTAAACACACTGCATGTGCTTCAGCCAAATGGTCATGTCTCAAAGCCTAAGCGGACTAGTCCTCTGTAAACAAGGGGGTCTGTTGTCAGTCAGGGGGGTGTCACCACGGTGTCAATGCCATTGGCCACACTCAGTCCAAGAGCCTCGACATGGTCAATTGGTTTTTAGTGTAGTCAAGGCCAAGCGTTCCATATTGGTACAGTCTGGGAGTGGGCCATAATCAGTTCTGCAGGTGCAGTGCAACAGATCGGTGATCAGAATTATGGATTTGTCAGGGAGCTGCACAGAAAACAGTCAGAGATCAGTGTCATTTATTTATGTACATATGGTGGACTGTCATTTTGACTCCAAACATGTGACATAATGAACTCTCAACATGACAGTCATTTAATTTGTTGAACCCACCCATGACAAAAGACATTGTTGACGGGAAACAATAGAAGTTTTTCCTTTGAGGGAACAAGGCCAAGTGCCTCATTTTTCAAAAAGGTCAACAAGTGTTGGCAAAGAATTAGAACACTGGCAATAAGTGGGCACAAGCGATGAGAGACGATGTGGTATGGAGAAGACGTCAGATCACCTCTTGCAACCAGAACAAATAGAGATCTGGATATAACTGAGAATAATACATTACCTGAAGCATCTGATGGAGACAGTACTTTAGTAGAGAATGCCATCACATTGTGCGAACCTCCGAATATTGCCATCAGAGGAAAGGACAATGACAAATGATGTTCCTAGTATACCTAAAACATCAAAGGTTAAAGTCAACAAGAAGGATAAACAGATGCCCAAGGTACACTGACAGCTACACAGGAATCAACCTCTCCTGGAATGTCTTGTCGACTGACTGTTGTATATACAATTGTAAATATTGTGAATGTTTTCATTGCAGTAACCTCTGATGTAAAGGGATGTTGTGTATTCATATAAGTATGGTAGACTGTCATTTTCAGTCTGATCATGTGATCTAATTATGAGGGGCCACCACTGTGTGTGGAGAAGACAGTTTTCTTTTATTCGCTCGTGAGCTGTGGGCATTGCTGGCTGGGCCTGCATTTATTGCCAATCCCTAATTGCAATAGGTCTGGAGTTCTGTGTAGGCCAGACTAGGTAAAAACAGCAGTTTTCTTCCCAAAAGGCTATTAATGAACGAGATGGGTTTTTGCTGACAATTGACAGAAGTTTCATGGTCACCATTAGATTCTGAACTCCAGATGTTTGTTGAATTCAAACTCCACCGTCTGCCATGGTGGGATTCAAACCTGGATCCCCAGAACATCGTCTGGGTCACTGGATTAGAGATAATACCACTACTTCTCCATTGCAGGAATAGAACATGCTGGGATGCAGAGGGTCAATATTTGTGAAGAGGGGCGCAACCCAAATATAAGGGTGGATGACAGTCGTACATTTGGAGCACATGGGATACTGTGGAAGAGATGGGGGAGAGTGGAGTTGTCATTGGTGTTCACCACCACCCTGACCTCGACAGGGGGACAGTGCAACAGATTCGTTGGCTTGGCTAAGTTGTAGACCTGAGGTTCAGGAGGTAACGTTGGGAGATAAAGACTTAAATACAATAGTTGGGTGGGAACATGTGGAAACTCCGAACTGATGGTGTAGTGATTGTAAAGAGGACAGCCAGGCGGAGCTCATAGAATGAGTTCCCTGAATCGGGCTGTTAATCTGGTCCAATCATGGAACCCTGTCTGACAAATATAAGTAGGAATGTCAGAGATTCTGTTCACTCTGACAGTGACTCTGAGGAAACTGGATTAGTGTCAAGGACTCTCCACGTGTAAATAAAGGGTCACTTGGTGACCGAATTCCAGCCTCTGTGGAGTCATTTCAAATGGGTTGACAAGGAGCACAAGAAATAAAGGACATGAGATTTGGGGGTCACATAGATTACAGGGCTGAACCTATGACTCATTCTGCAAAACATGACCTGTGTTGCCCCTCCATTCGCATCCAAATTACAAGTGTGCAACAGAAATGAAAAATAGCTGCCACCACACCCAGTGTGTGCAAAGTGAGCATTTCTTTTCATCTGTAAATGTCTGTCTCTGCTTATGAGTGATGTGAGGAACTTCAAGGGACAATTGCATTAATCAGGCACATGCACATTGCAGGTTAAAGACCTCTGTCATCATTAAAATTGTGTATCTGAAACACCTGATCAACTATGTGGCATACAAATAAAAGCAAAATACTGCAGATGCTGGAAGTCTGAAATATAAATGGAAAATACTGAAGAAACTTGGCATGACTGGTAGCACCGGTGGAGATAGAAACAAAGTTAACATTTCAAATCTATTGTGACTCTTCTTCAGAATAGAATTTAAATCCTGACCACAATCTTGATCATATCGATGGTCATTAAAAATTAATCCCTGTGAAGCAGGAATAATCATAGGTGATCTTAAAAGTGTTGTCTGTGGGTGACTACTCACAAAGACAATCCAAGGTCTTGTAGGTTGCTCATGGGTGTGGAGCTGATTTCCTCTCACTATCAACTGTATTTGCTAACATGCCCTTATATGCAGTACTGCCCCCTTTCTTGAATAATTATCAGGATGTTGGGAACTGGGCTTTAGTAATCTTACTGCACTTGCAGTCTTCTGTATTTGTGAAGCGTTTCTTGTACTGTGTACAACAGAGTAAGGCCATGAAGAGGCATTTCATGGTCTTCCTTATCAATGTCCTCCATGACTCACTGTATCAACAGCTATGCTAAACTGTCATTTGCGTGGAATCTGAATGCTGACTACTCACATCACAGAGAATTGTTCAGTTTCCAACATTACCAAAACAGGTTCTTTGAACCCGTGACTAATGGATCCAGCAATGGGTTATCGTTGCTGTGGCTGCAGTGCACCACAGGCTAAGAGAAATTGAAGAGGAATAAATGCACTCGCAAACCCAAGACCAGTCCAGGGCGGCAAACGGCCTCCACGTGAAGCCACAGCTGAAGGTACCCTCAAGAGTCTATCATCCTCAATGCCATTTCCTCCAGATGCGTGAAGCACATCGATGCTGCAGACTGTGGGTGCTCTGGGATGCCATCACAGAATTACGCAGTCTACTGGTGTGAGACATGTGGCCTCAAGGAGTGGGTGGCCCTTGTATCCCTGTGGCCATCAACGTGACAGCTATGCCACAATGTCATGCAACTGGCTATTTCTAAGGATCCACTGAGGACCTGTGCTAAGTACCTCAAACTTCAATCCACAAATGTATTGAGGCTTTTAATGATGCAATTTATGCCAGATCACATTGCTTCATCTGTTTCCCCACAACAAGGTCAGTACTCAGGCCAGGCAGTAGACTTTGCAAACAAAGCTGGCACTACTGTTTGTACATACCTTGCCTGAAGGGCACCAGATCACAACAGGTTTGCTTTCATCAACAGAAAAGGGTTAATTCCATCAATGTATACGTCTTCTCTGATCATTGGTACCTATCTTCGAAGTCTGTGCCAGGTACCCTGGAAGCTGCCATGATGCCTTCATCCTCGAGAACATTAATTTTCCTGTCTCATTTCAAGTCTGGATGCCTGACAAGGATGGGAAACAAGTCTATTTGTGATAGCAATGTTTGACCTTGTGCACAGCTACTGTTTAAATGTTGTACTGGCAGCGGAAATCAGGCATGGTTTTGCAGTGCCAAATGTGTTTGCCACAGGTGAACACATGACAGTGTGAGTACAGCCCCTAGACACCAGATGGATATATAACAAGGTAAGCAAAAGCGCAATGCGTGAGAATTTGATAGAGCTGATGAAAATGAACCCTGCATGAAAGTCCCCAGAATTGACACTTAGCCAATTTTTGGGAAAACTTAGCCCAGTGTTACAAATACACCAAAAAATGGCTGACTCTGCTGCTAAAATCAATCTAATTTACATAAGTCATGATTTCATAACCATTATTGTACAACTGTCAGTGATCTGGTTGAATCTTTTAATGATTAATGCTATTTGTTCTACTTACATTTTACTTGATAATGCCAAATTTTGGAAAGATTTTTGTGCGGACATGTTGATTAACCTTTTTAGCTCATTTGTCCATGTGTTAAAATTGTCGGTTATAAGATTGTTGTTCTCCATCAAAGGTAGTGTCAGTAGTTTCTTTTTATTGATTGTGAATTTCCAAAGGTGTTTTACAGTCATGAAAAACAGTTATCAAGAAATTGTACAAGAGTTATGTGATATGACTTGAAGTACAGATGAATTGGTAAGTTTTGAGGAAGCTATAGTTTGAGTGAGAGAGGTAGCATGCTGGATGGATTTAGAGGGAGAGCAGCAGAGCTAAGATAAGGTAATTGGAAGTTACAGCAGGGAGTTGCAAAACCATGGAGGATATATCCAGCTACCAAGATCACATTTGCTTTAACTGCATTGAATTTGGATTCAATTATCGTATAACCAATTATTAATTTTTTATAGAAGTAAAGCAATTGAAAATTAGTGCATTTAGTTTGCAAAAAGATAATGAGTAACATTACATGTGTTAAAGGCAAATTTCATCTGGTTTCAAAGACTGGGCGGGTGGAAAAAAGTGTAGAAGCCCATCGTGGAGCTGTGCTGGCAGGAAGGTGGAATTATGAGGGAACTGCTTTGGTAACAGGTGAGTGAAGTATTATAAAAACTAATTTAAGCTATTTGAAATTCTCCATCTTTGGGGGAAATGCATAATTAAAAGTATAATTCTTTATTCTGTATCCTCTGTACACTGTGGAAGTCTGTATTTGCTCATAGATTTCACGCGTTCTGGGGAAATTGGTGCTGAGCATGTATAAGAAAATATTCTTTTAAGTCTCAAATAGACAATGCCTCCTATGCTCCCGGAGCTGGCAATATTTTCCTGTTTCTTTTTTTCCATAACCAATTTCTTTTTTGTTCTTGAAATATGAACGCGAAAAGTGCCGGAAAGTCTGGAAAACTCAGGAGAGAAAAACTGTTAATGGCATTGATAATATTGATAGTAATTACCCACCCCAGGATAAGTAAGAGACAGATAGTGGCAGGGGATGGGTGGAAGCATTAAAATGAAAAATGAATGAAGAGGCACAACACTTCAATTCCAGTGGTTCTGGCACAGTTACCCCCTGTTACCAGCACCCATTGTTTGAGATAAATTTGAGAACCAGAGTTAAATTTGAAATAAGGTATTGTCATGCTACTGCTGAGCTTTTGAGGAGGCCAAACATTGAGCAGTCAGAATGGGATTGAACTCCAAAGATTCACCACACTCTAAGTGAAGAAATTCTTTCTCACCTCCGTGCTAAAGGACCTGCACCTTATTCTGACTCTGCTGCTAAAATCACTCCAATGTACTTAAGTCATGACTTCAAATGATTAATATACCACTGTCAGTGAACTGGTTGTATCTTTTAATGATCAATACCTCTCTGGTTTTGGACCCCACAACCAAGGGGAATGTCTCTCCTGTTGATCTCTGTAAGAATTTAATGTCTGATCGAGATCACCTTTCATTCTTCTAAACCCCAGAGAATATATGCTCAGTCCAGTTAATCTTTCCATCTTTCTTTGGTAAATGCATCTTTCCCTGGTTAAGGAGACCAAAGTTGTACACAATACTTTTAAGTGTGATCTCACCAAGTCTCTGTATATTTGCAATAAGGCATCTTTATACTCAAATTCTCTATTAATAAAGGCTAAGATACCACACTTGTAGATAGAACAGAGAGGATAGTTAAAGTGACTACTCATTGTATTTGCTATCCCCAGTGTTAAGAAGTCCACATTGTGGGCTGTAAATGCTGTATTCCAAGTTGGATGAAGTACAAGTATATCACTGTTTCACTTGGAAAAGGTACTTTAGTCCTCATTGACAGGACGACAGCAGTGAAACTCCTTTTCTGAAATCTGCCAGAGGAGGCCAACAGGTGTTGAGAATAAGCCAGAGTTTTATGGAGGAAATGGCCTTTTGGGAAAGAAGCTGGATGAAAAGTGGAAACAAGGATGTCATTGCTCAGGGAATCGTGCTTGAGGCGATTGAAATGGAAGAGAATAATTCATGTGGACAGGAGTGTGGAAAATTGGACAGATGCAGTTAAAACTCCTAGTTTTAATGGTGGACAAGAATCTTTGCAGAAACAAAGAAGTAGGCATTTCAAAAGTAAAAGCAACAAAAAAACTTACAACATCACTTTTTGATTGGACATTTCAGAGGTTTTGGTTTCATATGTAGGATAATTGGATCATATTTAACAGATGGGGAATGGAGGTGAGTCCTCACAGGAGGTAGCGTGAAGCGTACTGAAATTAAGGCACAATGGGAGTCAGTGTCTTGTTCCTTGTGTCAGATGTTTTGTCAGAAAAAAAACTGATGTTGCCCTCTAGCCTTTCAAAGGTAGCAGATTGATTGTGCCATTCCATTTGCACAGCAGGAGGCTTAACTAATGTATAGCTGTGGGACACCTCTGCTCCTGTATAAAAAATTGCTCCCCTGCACCCTAGAAAATATCTTGAGCAAAAAATCTGGAGGTTGTAACAGTTAGTCACCCTTCACACTGGTTTGCAATGTTCCGCAGTATTTACAAAAACAACTGTGAAATCCAGTGAAAGATTATTTGACAAATTTCAATCTTGTTACAAGACCATTTTTCTAGTTGCCAATGCATGAATTTTTATGAAAATGCTTTTGCTTAGTCTGCTCGTACAGTGATTCCTAACAGCCTCTCCTTCCTTAGCCATTGCGAATCAACCAACTTTGATTTTGATTTATCATACAATGACTACAAAAAGACAGTGCTCTTAAAGGTTACTTGTTATTACCTTCCTCTTGTTGGTAATGGTTGTAGATATGTACCTGACAGGAGAATGACTCCAAGTAACTAGAAATATTACATGGCACATAAATTAGTTGAAAGCCTAGGAACACTTCTAAACCATATAGAACCTAACAGAACTTCACTTGCAAGTAGAAAATCAGTTTTTTAAAAAAATTTTGCATCTAATGGAATACTATTTGTACTTCCACAGTTGGTGAAGATGGACAAATTAAGATTTGGTCCAAAACTGGAATGCTGCGATCCACAATGGTGCAACAAGGTAGATTTTTGAATTACAAGATTCATCTGGGTATGTAATTAGTTTTTGCAGGTAGTATAGCAATTCCAGGGTAATGCTAAAGTGAGTGCTACGTTTTTTATATCATGCACAATAGAGTATGTTCGTACATTTCAGTATTTAAGCACAATTTCCTTATTCCTACTCTTGGGTAGACAATTTTTTATTTCCAAAATATGCTTTATTCATTAATTGTCTATAAGTACAAGCAAAAAGAACAAAACAGTTTATTGCAAACTTTGCAGAAAATAGTGGAATTTTGACATTCCTCATTACAGCTTTAATCCAGTCACAACAAAAAAGGCATTTTCTACAAGGGTATCTCAAAATGTAACAGATGCTTGTTCTGTTTTAACAGAAAGACCTAGGTGGCCTTTACCTACGGTGGCAGCTGTCCCAAGCTTTAGTGCGTCCCACAGCACTTACTCCTGGACCTTAGAATTGGTTGAGATCACCTCTTTTCACTGGAAGACCAGCAGGTTTCAGGCAGTCCAAAGAGTGTCTTTCACCGAGTTGATGATCCTCCAGGCTCAGTTGATGTTTGTCTTGATGCGTGTCCTGCAGAACAGCCCGTAGAGCAGAATCCTGCATCATGGAGGTGCTTGAAGGAGATATGTGACAGTCTTATTACTACTGCAGCTGTCTCGAGGGCAGAGTGCAGTGGTGCAGAGAGTCCAGGCATTCATGAAGGATCTGATGGGTAGAGCTCTGTTGACCACTAGCCAAGCTACATCTTGGTGCTTGTTGGAAAGTTTTGGCAATGAGGCATTCTGTCAAATGACTTTGACAGTCTGCTCAGGGAGCGACCCAACAGGATCCACCTTCTCTTTTCCCCACAGGGCCTTGATGACATTATGTGCAGATATTCCATGATGGACTTGTGGTCATAGGTGATATGGAATGGTCCAACTACTTGGCTAGACCCATCCTTCGTAACACTGGGATAGGTAGATCATCAGTTACACTTGGCGTTTGCCTATGCACAGCTTGATGCAGCCACACACCAAAGTGACCATCAGCATGAGGGCCGTGTTTGATTCATCCTTCACCCACCTCCCCCCTCCTCATCCAGAGCTTGTACATGTTGTCCCTGCATGTGGTTCATCTTTGACCTCCAGATGAAGTGAAAAATGGCTTGGGAGACCACTGAGGCATAGGCTCAGGGAATGGGCTAGATCTCCACCATGTGCAGCAACACTAAGAGTGCCTCACACCTGGTGACTAGGTTATAACCCACAATGGAGAGGGAACGGTACTTCCACATGCTCAGTTTCTGCTTCACCTTGGAGATACAGGTTTCAGTGCATGCTCCAGCTCCTCCAAACAATATTCCCAGTACCTTCAGATAATTTGAACAGGTGATGAAGAGAATAAAAGATCAGTCAGCCCAGTTCCCACAGAGCATGGTCTCATTCTTGCCTCAGTTTATCTTGGCATCTGAGGCCATTTTGAACTGGTTGCAGATGCTTATTTGTGCATTGACAGTAGACCAAACAGAAAATGATGACATTATCCATGTACAAGCCGTCCTTGACCTACAGGCCTCTGCTGCCTGCAATAATTACCCCTCTCAGGCTCTCAGCAAAAGTTTGACTCAGCAAAAGACCCTCTTTGCTACCTTGTTTGTGCGTGGCACCGAGAAAGAGAGAGAGCAGCCCTGCATGACTCAGGAAGTTTTCTTATTCCCACCTGTTGATTGAGACTGTACTACTGATATTTGTGCAAAGCAGTGGGATCCAACTGCAGATTCCCTCCCCAAAGTCCATTTTGGATCTCATGTCTCTCATGTAGTTGTACGATAGTCTGTCAAGGTCTTATCCTGGTTCAGGCTGATGAGCCGGGTGGCTACACCCCTGTTCTACGTGTAGTTGATGGTTTACTGAGTAGCACGAGGCTTTCAGATCTTTCTGCTTGATACACCTCAGATTTGGTCAGGGTGAATCACCGACTGAGAGTTATTCTTAGATGAGCATAGTCACCTGATTCCTATGCACAAGATCTCAAACTCTATACTGGTAGCAGCTTCATTGTGTTCTTTTACCCTTCTGTCAGAAAGTCAAAATTTAATGTGGTTAGCACTTTTCTAGTCTGTCTTCTTATCAAACTGTGTGTGCAGATTGTTTTTGCACTTGGCATTGTTTTCTTTTGGCATGTAGGAACAACATGGTGTCATGGAGCTGAAATATTTAATGTGGTCAGAGTCACTTGTTTGCCGTTTCTACTTTCTCCGTTGTTTCAGGTAATCACGGTTGCTAACAATTCCTTGTCTGATGATGGTTTCCGGTTGTGATTGAACAAGTTCCAATACTCTTTATTGTTGTTAGGTTTAAGCCAAGTCTGTGGTCTTATGTTTGAAGGCAACAAAATATATCAATTTCTCAATCCTTACAGTAAAACAGTATATGATTTGACACTGTTAGTTGAAATATCAAATGCCATATCATATAACCCTGCAATTAAGTATGTTGGACATAACTTTATGAAGAGAGTTTTTGTCCGTTGTTCTATCTGAAGTTGACCATTGTTACCTTCAAATTGATTTCCAGTTACCGTTATCTTATATTTATGCAGATTGTTGAAACTTATACAAGTTTGATGAAAAATTACAAATTCGGTATCAAGGCACATGGATGTGTAGAATGACATAATAATTCATAGAAATCTGGGAAGCAAGATAGGAACAAGATCAAGTCAATCACCCTTTTAAACCTGTTCTGCAAACTAGTTAGATCATGACTGATTTCTGTTTAAACTCCATTTATCAATACACAGAAACCTGTCTTAAGACTGTTTTACTGTTTTAGGAAAACAATTAACTTCATTTTAGGCCAAGTGTGGAATAATGTATATACAGATGTAGAATAAGTATTAAGTAGGAAGCAGTTTCTTTTTCCTGTTTTACCACATGTTAATTCATTGAGCTCAGTTGGTGGGTCCTGATGAAAAGGACAATAACTTTGCCATGTAAGGAGAAGTATATTTGGAGGCAGATCCTTTTTGACACATTTTCCACAGTGTCAGTTTAGTATTGGGGGCAGATTGTTTACAAAACCACTTTTTTCTCTTGGATGGTGGATACTAAGGAAAACAATGAAAGAATTTTTATAAATAGTTTTTAAAATTTGTCGGAGTCATGGCTTAGTATAAAAGAAAATGGTTGAGTTTGTTTGAATTCAAACCAGCTTCAAGATATCACTGGAGTTCCTCAGGATAGTGTACTAGGCCCAATCATCATCTGCTGTTTTATCAATGACCTTCCTTTTATCATCACATTAGAGGTGGAGACATTCTCTGACGATTGCACAATATTTAGCACCATTTGCAGTGCTTTGGATGCTGAAGCAGTCCATGTCCAAATGCAGCAGGACTTGGACAGTATTCAGGCATGAGCTAATAAGTGGCACATTTGTTCCACACAAGTGCCAGGCAATGACCGTCTCCAAGAGAGAATCCAACCATTGCCCGTTTATATTCAATGGCTTAGCCAATGCTGAATCACTCATCATCAACATAGAATCATAGAGTCATAACAGCATGGAAACAGACCTTTGGGTCCAACTTGTCCATGCTAACCAAATTTCCCAAACTAAAATAGTCCCACTTACCTGCATCTTGGAGGTTACCGTTTTAAAAAAAAGAACTGGACCAGCTGTATTAATACTGAATGTCCAAGAGCAGGGCAGAGACTGGGAATTCTGTAGCAAGTAACTCTCTGCCTCAGTCCCCAAAGACCATGCACCATCTACAAGCCACATCAGGAATGTGATGGAATTCTCCCTACCTGCCTGGACTAATGCAGCTCCAAGAATACTCAAGAAGCTTGACCCATCCAGGACAATGTAGCCCACATGACTTGCATAGAATGCTGCACTTCGCCAGTGAGGGCTTGAGGGTATCCCTGATGCGTTTCCTCTATCTACCTGGGGCTCGCCTGCCATTTCAGAGCTGGGAGTAGAGCACCTTCTTGGGGAGTCTTGTGTCGATCATGCGGATGATGTGCCCAGCCCATCGCAGCTGATCAGGGGTGGTCAGTGCCTTGATGCTGGGGATGTTGGCCTGGTCTAGGACACTGGTGTTGGTGCATCTGTATTCTCAGTGGATTCGCAGGGTCTTGTGCAGCCAGCATTGATGGTACTACTCCAGTGCCTTGATGCGCCTACTGTAGGCAGCCATGTCTCAGAGCAGTATAAGAGGGCAGGAACCACCACAGCTCTGTATATCATGAGCTTGATGTTAGATATGATGTTGTTGTCCTTGAACACCCTTTTCCTCAGGCGGCTGGAGGTTGCGCTAGCACATTGGAAGCGGTGCTGGATCTCTTCAACAATATCTGCTTTGGTTAACAGGACACTCCTGAGGTATTGGAAGTGGCCAGTGTTCCCTAAGGTCTCCCCGTGGACCTGGTTCGCTCTACAATGTCAGCCAGGTTGGTGGAGGACCTTTATCTTGCAGATGAGACCCGTGCTCTCATATGCCACAGTAAAGGTATTGACAATGGTCTGGAGTTTAAACCTCTGAGTTTGCATATAAGCAAGCATCATTCGAATACTGTAGCTCAATGACACTGGTTGGAAGACTTTCGTTGTGGCTTGAGGGTGGTGGCAGTTGAATAATTTCACACCGGTCCTGTAGGTTAGTTTCACCTCCAGCAGGGAGCTTATCAGCAGTGAGGTGAAACATTGTAGTGAGGTAGATCAAGAAGAGTATTGGGGCGATGACACAGCCCTGCTTGACACCAGTCTGAACAGGGAATGGGTCCGTGGTGGAGCCATTTGTCATTACCATGACATGGAAGTGGAGCAGGTGAAGGATGGTGACAAACATCATGGTGCAGTCAAAGCGGAGAAGGATGTTCCATATTGCTTCCCATTTGATGCTGTCAAAGGCCTTTGTAAGATTGAAGAAGGCTGCATACAAGGGTATGTTCTTTTCCATGCACTTTTCCTGCAGCTGTCACACGGTGAAAATTATATCTGTTGCAC